CAAAAAGAAGGAGAAAGGGAGAGGAAATGTGCATCCAGGACGCTTGCAAACATCGCCTCCCAGACAATGACCCCCGCACACAGCCAGCCCCAGCTCCGCAACAAGCCGCCGAGAGACACAGCCAGCTGCAGCCCCTTCCCGCAGCCCCCGCAGGCAGCGCGAGCCCGCAGCAGCCAAGGCGAAACAGAAAGAAAACGCTTTAAAAAAAAAGGAAAAGGGGAAAAAATCAAATAAAAAGGAGACGAAAAGAAAAGAGCCAAGGCACCTGACCCCTCCCCCCCCCACCACCCATCCCCGCCTGCCACAAAAGCAAAGCACCCAACACAATCCCAAATCAAAGGAAGGCTCCGGGTTGCACCGAGCTGGGGTTCAAATCACAGCCAGCTGTTTAAAAATATAGCCGAGCTTGAAATAAGATATAGAGAGAAAGACAAGAGAGCTGGATCCCAGTCGAATGTCCTGGTAGCGGCTAGATTTCCAAGTCAACTGCTGCTAGGATTTTGGTTTAAATTAAAAAAAAAAATTAAATGTGCTCAGAATCTTCAACCCCTCCACCCCCCAGAATTGTCTTGAAAACTGGTACAGGTCGCAGCCCCCAGCTATATCCCCTTCTAACTTTTTATTGCCTCCCTCCCCCAGCCCAGCGAAGTTCTCCCTGCTAAAAAGGAACAGAAAGATTAAATATTTTTAAAAGGGAGAGGGGAGGGGGGAGGGGGTGAAAAAGAAAAAGGAAAAGAAAGGGTCTGAGACTTACAGTAGCCAAACATGAGTGGAAAAAGGGGAGATGCTTTAATTAATATCTTTGCTACGCTGGTGCAACTGCAAAAGCCTGCAGACAGCTTTGCACAGTGAATGCACAAGCTTGCAACTGCAAAAACACTGGATTCATTAACCATCTCCATACAAAACGTAAGCATGCTTTGAGTTCCTAAAGCTGACCAAAGTTTTTTTTGTTTTTTTTTTTTTGGAGTGTGGGTATGTTTTACTTCATCAGTGCCAGCGTTGGAGACTGCATGCCATGTAAACAAAGGTAACTTCAAGGGAAGATACGGCTACTGAGCTTTATTTCTCTCTCACACACAGACATAATCCATCTTCCCCCCTCAACAGCGTGTAATATTCTCTGAACTTTATCTTTAATTGCAATTGTGAGGGCCCCCCCCCCCCCCCCCCAGGAGCCAGTCCTCCCAATCTGCCCAGCGGATCCCCTCCTCCCCCCACTTGTTTCTAGTTGGAAACTTGGCAGTTATTTTTTCAATTAAATGAAAACACAATTCCAAGTTTGCTTTTTTTCCCAGACGCCTGCAAACTGCTCCCTGAAGCTACAAATGAAGTCGTCATATTTGCGAGCTCTTTCAGCTCTGAAGGAACTCCACGTCTTTTCTTGTGGCATATAAAATATCATTTGAAAACCAATTAAAGAAGTAGTAATCCCCCACGCCACAAAATTGAGGGTTTCGCTCCTTTTGACTGCAAGACATCTTTAACGATAGTCACCGGATAAACTTTAACTGGGAACCGATAAATTGATTGGGGGGGGGAATAAAATAAAAATAAAAGAGAGACAGATCTGGCTAGAGGAAAATGATTTCTATTACTAGCAAACATCAACAACTCGCCTGAAAAAATAGCATTGGAAATGGAGGGGAGCTCACGCCAGATGCAGCTTATGTATTATGCTAAAATCAGAAGGATCAGTAAATATGTTAGAAATTGTCATTTGTCATTTGTATGCAGTATTTAAGGAGAGGGTGGAGTTTGATGGAGAAATAAAATGAGCAGCATGCTGAAGGATGACAGAGCTAGGAATGCACGGTTCAGTCACAAACTTTCCTTTGAAAGCATGGAGTGAAAACAAGGCCAGATCTTGCAAGGAGCAGACTCCAACACAGTGGAAAGCACAAGGAAGCAGAGACACAGTAGCACATCCCCCCCCTCCCCTGTGTGGGGCTCCCCCCCCGCCTTTTTTTCCTACTTACACGTCTTTCATCTTTCTTTCAGGAAAGATGATGCTGGAAATGGATCTACTGCGAAGTGTGGTGGTGGGGGGTTTAAAATTGTAACTAACAGGGGGAGAGGGTGGGGAAATGAATGGAAACAACTCGCAGAGAAGGATGCCTCCCCCTCCCCAGCCTCATGCCAACAATAGACCAAATCCCATCCGGAGAGCAGCGATCTCGGAGAAATAATACATATTTAGTGAGTGATCGTAATAATAAATTCTCATCACAATGAGGAGGGAAGGGAAGCGTGTGGCGGTGGAGGGGGTTGGGGGGGAGAGGAGGAGGAGGAGGAGGAGGAGGGCAGCAGCACAAACCCAAAGCCTGGGTGCAAAGCTTGGAGCTGGGCTGCAGGTCTAGAGACACGAGAGATCTAGAGAGAGCGAGAGTAGAATAGGGAAGAAATATTCACCTTCCCGCCTCATGCCCACTTTGAGACACTTCTTGAGGCGGCAGTACTGGCACTGGTTGCGGTGGTGCTGGTCGATGGGACAGTTCCTGTTGGCCCGACATGTGTAAGTTAAGTTCCTGCGGACGCTCCTCTTGAAGAAACTTTTGCAGCCCTCGCAGGTGAATTGCCCGTAGTGTTTGCCGCTGGATTTGTCCCCGCAAACCACGCACTCGATGTGCTGCTGGCTCTGGCCCGAGCCCTGCTGGCCCTGGCCCTTGTCCCCGGCCGTGCCCGGGGTGGACGGGGGGCCGGGCTGGCTGGGGGTCTGGGGGGTGTGCGGGGCCGCGGAGGCCGCTTGCTGCTGCTGCCGCCCCCCGGCCCGCCGGGGCGCC